GCCTGCTGGAGGCCTCTGTAGGAAGAGGCTGGCGGTGGCGTGGGCTGCGACAAGACCCCTGTGGTCTGGCAGACTCCGCACCTGCGCCTCCCTCTCGCTGGGCTGGGCTCTCCGTTCATTGGCCTCCGCCGTTGTTGGCTGCTCACCTCATGAATACGGGGCAGCTGGCGGCGCACTGCAGCTGAATTCGTTGGCCGTTCAGCTGGGCCCCGGCGCAATTGTGCGGGTGGCGCAGCGCCGACTCTCGCTCCTCGTGTGCCGCCCATCCCGCACGGAGGGCTGCCGTGGACGCCGTAAAAAGCCCCCGAGGAGACTCCGGGCCCGGCAACACCGTGAAGGAAATCATTCAACCCCGCAACGCGGCAAACTCCGCGCGGTGGCCCCAATCAAAATCAAACAAATGGAATTCTCCCCCCTCCACGATGAACACGCGCCCTCCGCGTGGGACGCCAAGTCTGGCGCAGATGCCGGACTGAAATAAAATGAACATGCCGCAACCAACGTGCCAGTGCCGTGATGCTCGTCACTTATTCTAAGTCTGAATAGCGACGGACGTGTAGTAGCGATCATATCTGTCAAAGAGAAAACAAAAAGAAGAAAATGAAATGTTTTAATTTGATGTTGTTCTCAACAAAACACTTCATATCGGTGTGAAGGAGCTTCTCGCAGGGACGATTCTCGGCACTGTTGTGCGTGTGGATCGGTGTAGCGTCTGCGCGAGAGCGACTCGCTGGCTGCGCGGTGTGTGTGGTGGGAGAAGAAGGAATAATAATAAAAAAGAGTGACCTTGTAAAAAGACGCGGTTTGTTCTTCCCCACGCATGTCAGCTTCCGTGCTTCCCAGCGCGCGTAGGAGATATGGACGTGCAGCCTCTGCGACCGTTGCAAGCAGCTTTTGTTGGCTTTTTTGGTGAAGGCTCCTAATCTGCTAAAGAGTGCAGTGTAGCTGTTTGCGGGGGCACCATGTATTGCTGCGCCAGCAGTGTTAAGATACTTGTCGTGACGAATACAATGTCGTTGAGGTGGCGATACATGTTGCTCCTCGGCAGCTGCTCCGCAAGCACGGTGCCCAGCGCGCTCGCGCTCTCGAGCAGCGGAGACGGGCGCAGCAGCAGTAGCTGCCCCACAAAGTAGGCGCCCATCCCCACTGTTAGCCCCAGCACGGTCGTGTCCACGCTCAGAAACGTAGCGTACGTCGTCACCAGCCGGAAGACGGCCAGAAGCAAACCGCGGATAGAAGTCACAATCATCCACGCGTTGAGAAACAATGACACGCACACGATGCTCTGCTCACCCTCCCCGCCCTGAGAGGCGGCAAGGCCATACGTCTCCAGAAACCGCACCACGCGGGTTGCCGCGTCCTCCGGCACCGGGGGCGCTGGTGCGTCAGAAAAGACGAACCACCGCAGCAGGTTGATGGAGGTGAAGAAAAGCTTCAGAAAGGCATGCAGGAGCAGCAGGACGCCCAGCAGCGCGTCCACCAACCCACGCCACGTCGCCCCACTCTCCGCGGAGCGCACCAGCGAGCCCATTTCACTCATCTGCAGAAAAACAGCCATGCTGACTGCCTGTATGCCGTCTTTCTCTGCCTTGAGCCTGGCGATGCCGTCGCTGTTCTCGCGCAGCGCTCCGCCGCGGACGGTGGACCGAAGCGACTTCGCCATCCAACTCCACACCCGCGTCGGCGCATCCGCGCCGCGGAACGATGACGGCGCCCCATGATACATCTCCACAATCTGGCACTCCTTCGCCACCCACAGGGAGAGCAGGTGTCGCTGCCGCTTCCCCAGCACACCCAGCGCCACTCGCGCCCGCTCCCCGCTGTCTTTCACCACAAACGGCCGCAGAAACGCGACGGGCGTCGTCACGGCGGCGTAACCGGAGAGGGCGGCCACCGCAAGGATGCCGATCACCGCAACCACCGCGGCGGTTGCATCCCACAACGCCTCCGCCGCCGCCCACGAGAAACAAGAACCGGAGAGGCGCTGAAGCCACGCAAGTGAGAGTGTCCAGGCCCTGAAAATAAGCAGGAGGAGGCCGCATCCGATTAGCAGCACGTAGCTGCAACGGAAGTGCAGGTTGTGCAGCAGCAGCCGGGTAATACACAAGGGACAAAGCACCGCGATGGCGGCAAGATCGGCCGCAAGAGCGAGGTGGAGTGCGCGGGTGCTGAAGCGCACGGAAAAGATAAGGCCGCCAAGCGCTGAGACATCCAACAGGGCGAGGCTCAAAATTAACGTCGAAAGCGCAAAAATAACAACAAAAAAAAACTGTGTGGTGCGTCTCTCAATTGTGTACACGAACACCAGGCGGCCAAAGAGGATGCCGAGGTAGCACAGCAGCAGAAACAGCAGCAGCGCAAAAAGTACCTCAAGCATTACCACCACCACAACTAATACTACCACTCTCCTTCGCTACACCAAGACTAGAAGCCTGCGTTATCCCTCGTTGCGTTACGCCGGTGTAACACACATACCCTAAAGCTTCAGAGCCACGCACGCCGGCGCACACGCACACACAAATGTACGCGACAAACTAAAAGAGCAAAAGTATTGGACTCAGAGATTCAGACGCAGCGAGAAACAAGTCGCTGCAGCAAAAGAGGTAGGCAAAAGCACCAATGTTGATTTCGCCAATTCGGCCAGAGCGGCAACAAAAGCTCCTCCTCACCCGCCTGCTCGCGTTGTTCCTCGTAGCCGAAGTAGAAAAACAAGAAAAAAAAAAACGTCCACCTCTCACGATGATGACCGCGCCACTAGTGCAGTCAGCTTCAACGTCCACAGTCATTCCTTGTCGCCTCCGGCAGAAGCTTCCTGGGAGGCAGAAGCAGCATTGCCTTCGCTGGACTACCGCCTCACAGTGGCCAGGAGCGCCTCCCAGTCCTCCATGTTCAGCGGTGCGGAAAGGCGCGGGCCACCACTACCACTCCTTCCACTCTCGTCAAGGTCGCCAGGGCCAAGCTCCAAGGCAGAGGCTTCCTCCCCCTCCCGGCCGCCACCGCCTCTGTCGTTAACCCGCCCTCCTCCAGATCCATCGCTGCGGTGTCTCCCAGCTCACGCACGCCGCGCGCAGGTGGTGACTGCGTGCTCTCCAAAAGGAAGAATATGTTAGATGCATAATAGGCGTGCAATCGTTCCTTGTCCCCATCGACGTCAATCCAGCCAAGCGCTGTGCGGCAGGCGATGGATGCGGTGAAAATGACGCCCGCGATACAGTAAATGGCAAGAAACAAGAACGCCACGTCGAGCGAGAGAAACAGCACGTGGCGTGGCACCACACGCTCTCGAACTCCCCACATGATGGCGTCAGCAGTGGGTGGAAGAATCATGTGCCTTATTAGTGATGCGGGGTCAGTACACCGCAGTCAAGCCCTCACGTGGTGGTAGGCGTAGCATACCTTACGGTAGCCGTGAAACGTGTCAAGGACGAGGTGCTGCAGCCATGGATTGTTCGATGACATCAGTGGCCAGTCGATAGGTGCCCTGTCATCCAGCGACAGCAGTTCGCTTTCGGACTGCAGTGCCAGTCCCCGCAGACGCCTCTGCCCGGGAAGCTGCACACTTGGGAAGACCAAGTAGGTGTGCGAAAAGGCCTCCGCCAGCAGGAGCCTGGAGTCGGCGTTGGATGTATGCACAAAGCAGCCTACAGGGTGGCAAACGGATCCCCAAGCGACGCTCTCCGCGGTGAAGGCGGTCAAGGGCACCCACTGCACAGCTTCCACCTCATGTCGGGAGAAGCGCACCGTAGGTGCCATTTCCCCTGTGTGCAGAAAAACAAATCGGGACTGCACCATTCCCGTCGCCTGGATGTGGCGGCTATGGATGAGGTAGTCGCGAAGCCGGCCTAAGAGAACAAAGTCCTTCGACTGCAGCGGAATCCCAAGCATTTGGTCCACATCACGCTCCACTGCACGCAGGTCATTCGCGTTGGGCGCCGGGAAACGTCACGCTTCCGCTCCATCGGTCGGCCGCCAAATCCGCCCGTCTGACAAACAACATCCGCAGCGAAGAGGACACCGCCGCACAGTGGGCAAACCGGCGTCGCAGCACGCGAGCAGCCAGTGGGCGGTGCGTTGCTGCTCCGCCTCACCGAAGCGCACGACGATGGCAATGGCGGAGCGGTGGGCGCCCGGCACATACACGTGCAGTCACCGCTCCTGCATGCGCTGCGTCACGTGCAGGAGAAACTTGGCATCCACGGCAGGCAGCGGCATTGCCGTCCCCTCCAGCCCCCTTTGGCGGGGCAAAAAACGGAAGTGGAAGCAGGTGCGGCAGAGAACGCAGAAGATGCAGGGCAAGAAAAAAAAAAAAAAGGAGAAGAGGCATGAGGCAAAGAAGCATTTCAAACAAGAAAAGGGAAAAAAAAAAAAAAAAGGGGGGGGGGGGGGGGGTAGGGAAAGGTAGGGAAACCGTAACGTAAACGGGTAGGACCCGAAGTAGGGACGACGAA